AAGAAGTTTTAAAACAAATAATCGAAACATATTTACGATCTCAGATCTTTGGATCAATGAAGCTAATACTATATTTAAAAGGAGAGAGATATATATATGTTCAAACTCTGCGATGATTTTGGCAATCAACCAAAAGATCGTTTCCTAAATTAAAAAACAATATTCTTCCGAAATTCTACATAAAGGTGAGCTATAATAAAATCTTTCAGAACAAATATTCGTTTTAAATTGAAGTTCGTTCTTCAAAAAGGACTTCTGCTTTGGTTTTAATTGCGAATTTTAATTCTTTCATTTATGCAAATCCAATAAACTACATTTTCCCTATTTCTATTCCCAATTCGATACTGATAAACTTTATAAAGGGCTAAAGTTTTTTTTTTTTTTTTTTCCTTTTAGTTTCAATAATGTCTAAAATTCACATTGATTAACATAAGATGTGAAAATAACAGCTAATATTGTAGCAGAATTATAAAAAGAATGAAATTAAAGATTTAAAGAGGAGCCTAAACTTAACGAAGACTAACTTATTCTCAGAGAAACTGCCAGCTCTTTATAATGACTTAACGTGACATCTCCTGAGGAGGAGAGGAACTGTACTTTCCGATTTCGCGGGAGCAGGAAGAATTTTGAAATACACGGAAAGAGGGATCGGGGAAACAGAACTAATTCCTTCTGTTCAACTTACTTAGTTTTAAATAAAAGGGTCTATTACACCCTTTTTACGTTTCTGTTTCATACTAGACAAAGCGTCGAGTCGTTTCCAGTCACACATTGAGGATTTGGCACAAGTTACGTTTAGTAAAAGACATATTCTTTACAAACGCATCGGCATTTCACGTTAATTTAAATGTCTCACCCCCCCCGTCACCAGCTAGTTTCCTCGATAGAAAATACCCTGCAGTAGTTATTCCTCCCTAAGCAAATAACACTTCTTTCATTCTTTTTCCATAATCAGTTAAGTTCTTTAGTTTTGGTTTAAGTTCTTTAATTAATTTAATTAATGTTTTAAAAATGTGATCTGGAATTTAATTTTTAAAAGGAAAATAAAATATGTTAGTATTAAATTACTAATAAAAGTTAACTTTGTTGTTAAAAAGCAAAATTTTAATCTGTTTCGCTATTAAATGTCGCATATATTCGGATGCTCTTGTTGTATTTTCCATTCCATTTTTTAAACATATGAATTTTCCTTCTTTATCTAAAGTTGCACTTTAATAAAAGTATTTTCATGTATTTAGGTCAACTTTTCCTTTTCCAGTTTTAATTGCAAAGTAATAATGCTTTAATACTTATTTTAATATAATCGTTAAAAGGGCATTTTAATGCAATCTCCTTACAAAGATAGTTTCACAAACTGTTTGTGGACGTAGAATTAATTTGAATTTGAGTATTCGTTTGATTTTTTTTATTCGATGCCTTTTGGGCAATCGTAACAGTTGTTTTCCAATTTTTTTAGCAATCGTTGCTTCTAACCCCTAGATTAGACTTGCAACGAATTTTGAAACTCACATTGTGCATAGTCATGCTGATTCAGAGTTACTTCTTTCGCTCGAATTACTTTCCTTAAATAATAAACGACAGTAATACTTTTGAGAAAACGAAGACCGAGTTTTATATTTCTGTCTTTTAATTTATTTTATCTTTTTTCTATCTTTTTTATCTATGTTTTAAAATTGTTATCTATTTATTATTTTATCTACTAAAAAGTTAAGAATTCGGAAATTCACGCACGGAAATCTTTTAGATATAATGTTACTGACGTCTGTACGGCTCGATTCTTCCAGCATCATCAAGAACTATATTATATATACAACTGAACCCTTCTTCTTAATCAAAACAAGCTGCAATTAGCAAACAGAAACGAGATAAAAAAACGAATAAAATGTATTAGTGAATTTCCGATATATAACTCTTATCTCAAAACTACGCTTTGAACACGAAGCAAACATGCTCAGACTCGGTCATAGTTAATAGAACAGAATTTAGGGATTCCTAAATCACAACACATGTTCCTCGATGTATTGCGTTTGGGCATTTTGATGATTTTCGCTATAACGAATATTCTGTTGGTTGTGGGTGGAAGAATGAAAATATTTTCGAATAAAACCAGCTATGTTTTGCGCAAAAAAATAAAAATAGCGAACTCACCTCTAACAATGGTTTTCAATTCGCAAATTAAAAAGAAAAAAAAAAAGATTCCTTTTTAAATGTTTTCTCAACCTGAAATATTAGTCGTTCGTACGGGAAAAAGTGGGTAATTTTTCAAGGCACACTACTGAAAAGACCTACAATATTTTAAAGGAAATATTTTCGAGTTTCTTTTGCCTATTCAAATTTTCTTTGTAAAGATTTGGGGAAAACATTTGTGTATTATTATTATTATATATATTTAAATACATGAAATTAATTGTTAAATGTAATGTGGAGTTATTAAATGGAATTCAAAAGGACGTAAAAAATAGCACACAAACATATTTTCCCGTTATGACTTTCAAAAAGTTTTCCCGCCCTGCTTCACACACAATTCGTAACTTCTATCCTAACTGAACAACTAGTGTATTACTGCAAAAATATCGATAAATGAGCAGTCATTGATGTTTTGATAATTTGCAGATGATCATTACCTTGCATAAAATGCAAGCGAAACTGTCCTCGATTGCTTTTTAAATAAGGGCTTTTGATCTTTCATTTATGGGCAGTATTGACTGTGATTTTTATTTAAGAACTTATTATTCAAAAGTATGTGAAATTTGTGCTGCTAAATTGTTATTTTATCGACGAAAATTTTCTTATTTTGATAAGCAGAAACTCTATTTATTTTGAATACGTAAATTCTCTGTCAAATTCATATTTTAAAAATTGGAAATTTATGCTAAACCTAAAAACTAAACCTGTGCTAAACCGAATCCCGGAGAAGAGATGACTGTAATTGTCTGCCCCTTCCATAAGATTAGGATTATTCATTTATGGCAAAGCACACGAGGGCTATCTGCCTAAAGGGAGGGATGCCTTCGTGGAGGACTTTCTAAGGGAACTGGCTCGTATACACGTTACTCACGGGGAAAACCACGAAAGCGCCCCATGCAGCCAGCCCGTTCGCGGGATTCGAACCTCGGACCGAACTACTACCAGTGTTCAGCGTCTTACCGCTCGGCCGCTGGTGGGCCCCCTTCCCATAGGAAGTAACGGTAGTCCACCTATTAGGTGCTTAGACAATAAAGTGGCCACCACTACCGGACTTAGTAGTAGCCAAACCTTAGCTGGCTAAATGTTCGCCAATGGCGAAAAAGAATATGAATTTCGAATTTTTTAAATTTTTTTAAATTCGAAAGAATTCGAAAAAAAATTCAAAAAAATCGAAATATTACGAAACACCAGTCAAGATTATTCTTTTTGTTTAAAAGAAGAAATTAGAGTATCAGTGGGATTAAAATGCCCGCAGTAAATTATGTAAAATATTGGAGGCTAAAAATCATGTGTTTCTAAGTAATGCGATGAAAAGTGCAAATTGTGTTTCGCAGTTATTTTCGAAGAATTTGAAGAACACACCTGCTCAAAATTAGTATTTTTCTTCTATTATTAATCGGAAACTTTGAAAACGTTCTTCCTGCAATATTTTGCGAAAGATTTCAGAGCACCATTGAAAGTACTTAATAAGAAAATAAGGAAATAATACTTATTAAGGAAATTTTAAAAGAATCACTATTACTGCAATTCGTTATTGATAGATATAAAAACGTTTTTTTCTTATTTATGGAAATTATCTGTAGACCACTTTTTAAAAACCAAAAGAAAAATTACACTAGTCCATTTGGAGATACTTCTCCAGTTAAATTTATAGAATGTTGATAGAGGACTGAGTTAAAAGTTAAAAAATTTTTAATATGATTTTGAAATTTTGGGATAGATCAGGATATTAGTTGAATATATGATGGTTAGTTTTTATTGCACCTCGACGTAAGTTCTTTCCAATATATTTTTCTGAAATGATCGTTTAAGCAACACCAGTGATACATGAAACCATTTAACTTGTTTCTTCTCTAAGCTACTAAAAAATAAGTGTCAGCAGTTTAGTATGTAAGATATAAGATGACAATTATTGATTACTATAGCCAATTTTTTAAAGTTTTTCTTGTCAAAGTTTGTGATAATTAATTATCTGACTACGGATATCGCGACTGTCGGCGGCCTGGCAAAATTTTCAGGTCGGCTCTGTAATAATAGCTGCTAGATTAAGAGAAAACTTAAAAGCAAGATATTCATGTGCATTTTCTATACTTTCGTTTTTGAAGTTACACATTAACTATGAGCGTCCTATCATATGTCTAGTTTCTTCCGAGATACTTGGGAGGGGTTGTAAAAAATATCTCCACTCAGATCTCATCCATCCGTCTACTTTCCAAGTAAAGCGGCTTGAATCTGACATGCTAGTTAATTCTTATGATCTCAATATTTGAGGGCAGATACAACAACCGATGTTAAGACTGTTGCAAAATGAGACGCTCTTTTTTACCCTTTTCCAAAAACTTTTTAATCTTTCTTTCTTGTTTTCAGTTAAAGGTGACCTGGTCTTCCTTATTTTGCCAGTGTATCTTATACACGTTCTATTATTTATTCATTCGTTCTTAATGAAGTATTAACTTGTGGGCTAAAGGTGATTCAGTGAAGCAATTGTTTGCTACAAGTTTAAGAAGCCTTTAAAAAATAATGAAGATTTGCTAAAGCGATAGTCTGGAATGTTGGTGATGCGTATCTTTACTGCAAACATCTTTCTGATTTAATTTATGTATATACCCTCAGATCAAAGATTATGACGGAACGGAGATGGGAGGGCGAGGGTGTCGAGAGAAGGAGAAAAAGTCAAAAACGGATGAAAAACGAAGTGAAAGCAAAAGATTAAAAAATAACATTCATCCGAGAGATATTGGGGACGCAGTGCGTCGTCGCAGCAGAGGCTCTCTCGCCTCCCCACCTCATTCGTCGCTATCTCCGCCCCTTTATGTCGCGAGGTCTCCACCCCCCGCGTGATTAGCATCCCTCCGTCCTCCCCAGCATCCCCGCGTGCCACGTGACCGTGAGGAACAAGGATCGCCAGTCATACAGAACGCCTCTCCAGGCTATCCGCGGACCGAAATCCGCCGAGGAACAGGTCTCCGGAAACGGCGGGTCGCCCTACGGTCTCGCGCTGGCTCAGGTGGTTGGTTATCTGGTGATGTAATAATTGTGGCCCAATTAAGGGAAAGGGTTACCTTGTGACGTCAGAGTACTTCTAACTGATAACCGACGGGAATCCCAAATTTGCAACATCTCTAAAGGAAAGCAACTTTTTTCTTCTTCCTTAAGAAGGAACAATTAATGGGTAAGTCACGTTTTCATATTCTGCATAGAGTTCAAGAGCGAGCAGAATTTCAACGTCTTTTAAGAAAACTAAGATATGCTCAAGGCCGAAAACCGATTCTTTTGTATATATTTGCATTTTTATTTTAGAAAAGGCATTACACTTTCATGCATTATATCTCATTTCAGTTTTAGAAACATTTTACAGCAAAACATTCTTTTGTTTTTAATGCTTCCTCGAATTCTTACCATGTGCATTGCACGCCATTCGTAAATTCATACATATACCTGATTTTAACAATTAGCCTTACACGTAATTGAATAGATATCTCATTTAAATTTTAGAAATGTTCTAGAACAAAACGCTTCTTTGTTTAAAATGTTTTCTCGAATCAATGATTTTTGCATACCATTTTTCGCCTTCTTACTGTGCGCATTGCACGTTATTCTTAAATTCATAAATAGGTACCTAATACTTAAGTATTGACTTTACATGTTGTTGAGTGGCTGTATTTACTCAGTCTGTTTAGCAGTAGCACTTCTAAATCCAATCAAATATCATAATAACAAAATTCCATGTACCTACATTTTTTTTGCTTCTTCTAGGACGAGGTACGACTTCATACTAGTTATTAAACAAATAATGGTAAAGTGTTTGTGACCGAATGATTAGGTGTAGTTCTCAGTAAAAGACTTTTATTTGAAATTATATATTTATTTTAAATTACTACAAAAAGGCACTTGCTGCCAGAGACAGATTTTATAACTTTTTTTTTCACTGGTCAAATATTAATATTTATTTAAGTGTGTAATTTTAGGGATTGGTCTGCAGTTTTTTTAAAAAGAAATTCAGAAAAGAATAACAAGACATCTTAAGCACAGATTCATAAAATATTAAATTTCTTTGAATTTGATACGAAATTAGGAGCGACTCGCAAAAAACTGATACGAACATTTTAAAATTCAAATTTTATCTTACTATAATGGAATATCTGCATCATTTAAAAGGCTGTGAAAGATCAAATGAATGATTTACCGCCTGAATTCACTTTAAGAGTTGATTTAATTTTCGTACATTAAAATTTGCTTTAGCCTGAGTTTGTGATCCCACAATTTTATGATTTAAGATTAGGAGAAAAAAATCTTAAAACAAATGAAGAAATATTTCATGTTTAAAACTAGGCAGAAAAGCAACATTAAATTAATATAGATTTTGAATAAAAACTTTGAATTTTATTTGAACGAAATTTTTTAATTTTTTTATTTATTGGAATTTATTTATTAAATTCTTGAATAGATTTTGAATAAAAGAACTTACTCAAATTACTTTTTAAAGCAGTATACGTATTTTATTTCCTATGTTAATCTTGTAATTTAAATATAGTTAAAAATTTTTTGTTTAAAATGTAAAACAAGTTCGCTTTGTATTTTAAGATTTTGAAATAATTTCGGCTATATTATATTTTTATAATTTTAGTCTAACGATAATTTTATATTTGAAGCTAGAATTTACATTTTCATTTTCACGAAGCGTGCAGAAAGTAAGAACTTTACTGTGACATGAAGCGTTAAGAAAAAGAATTATTATCTGACAGCAGTTAGGCACTAAGATATATTTTCTGCTTAATCACTGTAAGAACATTAGAAATAGGTTTTAGGTGATTTAGTTTTTCATTTAATAGTTTTTTACAAAATTTTTCATTTAGCAGTTTCATGTCAAATTTTTAGTTAGACACTGGAAAGGAACTTGTCAGTATTTGTACAGGCTAAATCTAGCGAATGTGAACAGAATCAGCGATGAGCGAGGTTTCCGCTCTTAATTTGTAATGTTTGTGAAAAATTCTACTCCTCATTTATAAACAGTTTTATCTCTAAAATTTTCAAGTAATATTATTTTATTTTTGTTTTTGAACGATACCAATATAAAAGCTTCAAAGGTACTGAAGCAGTAAAATTTAAGAAAAACATTTAAAGCACTCAAATTAATATGGTTAAATCCATTTCTTGGTCTGTACTTACTTATTTTCTTGAAAAGGCTCTTCTAGATCTAACCAAAATAAAGCTAGCTTTTTCTGATTTTTACACTGAACATATTTTTACTTTGGCACAAAAATGCATGACAGAAGAACAAATTTTTGATTAATTGAATTCATCGAAGGTATATTTAATCTATTTATTTAAAATTTTTATTTATCAATATTTTTTCAAAGAAGAGCATTTGTAGCTAAAAATGTTTTCTGTAGAACCTTTTCAAATAATTCAGAATTTAATTAATTAAAAAAATTAAACAAATTTTTAAGTTTAATATTTTAAGTACAGTAACTAACGTTATTTTCTATATAAGATCATTACTGTCATATATATACTTACTGTAACCGCAGCACGTCCCGAAGAAGAATAAAACTACATGCTAATTATTACAACCCTAAAGCCTTACTAGGATAAGGAAATTTTCAAAAATCAAGCAAATGTAAGGAACGACGTAAAAATTCCTAACAAACTGCAATTTAGTTGTTATAAAAATTAAAACTGAGCACGCCATATAATAGACTGTCGAATATTTAATTTTTGAGATTTCGAAATTTTAGTAGCTTGTCGAAGTCGGAAATTTTTACAGAAAATGCTGTTACTGTGAAAAGAACAAGCTAACATTAACTCATAAAGCCATCTAGATTTTCAAAGACCTTTGACACTGGTATGAAGTTTACCAAATTCTTTCAATTTTTATTGCGAGTTAATTAATACACATTTGCCACACTTTTGTTGAAAATTGTTATAATTTTTGCTTTAAGAGTTGTAGGGTATTTATCTGAAGCTAACCAGTTACTGTGATTTAGGTGTTTACTATCACTTGTCCTTTCCGTTTCTTCCAGAGAGTGTAAATCGAGTTAGAGAGGAGGATTTACGATAATTTTGGATAGTAAGACAAAGCGTGTTTCTGCCCATCGTTGCCACGTTACGTAGCTGTGATAGGTTTATAATTATTCGACTTCACGTTTTGCTGCCGACATTTAAATTTGATACAGCGGTTAGAAGTGTTTCGAGCCAGCTTAGTTCAAAATTTAATTGTGTAGTCTTCTACTAGCCTACGTTTTAATTTTGACTGTTATTTTAATTACATCGCCACAAGTGTGCTTTGAATCCTGTTAGCACAAGAACGTGCATTTATGTCCAAAGTTTGAATTTAAATAAGAAAGTTTATTTTAAATCCTTTCCAAGGCTCTGTACTTTAAATTTCAGACACAGCGATAATTACCTTCTGGATAGGGTTGGAAACTAGTTTTGTTCTCCCAAAGCGAGTCAGGCTCTATGAGTGTTCAATTTAATTGGTTTTTAAGTGGATTATAGGATTTTCATATAACTTCATTATTTATGTAATTAAGATGCAGTCATCAAATTAAGGGAATATTTAATTAATACAATGCACTTTTTCCGTTTTGAATTAGAGTTGACTTCAGTACACTTTTTACGATGAATTCAAATAAAAACATAGAACAGAGGTGTATTTCCATTTCTATGACCGCCACTTTCTGGGATACGATTTGGTGGATGACGGTTTTACGTGTTTAATAGTGTCTGCTATGGTCTACGTAAATGACACAGACAAAGGTTTTTCATATAATATTAGTGCTGATAAATCATTTATGTAATAGGAGTGGTGACGATGACTATTAAGCATTGATAAGGTATTTGCACGAGATCAAGAATCTTTTGTGAAGATAGAAATAATTAACGTGGAGATTATTATATTTGGCTAGAAATTGTTAAGTAATATTATATAATAATTTTATACTCCTGGTCTTAAATAAATATTATTTTTATTCTTAGTTAGTAAATCTAACTTTGATGTTGTACCTGTAAATATTTTTTGTCCACTGTAGGAGAAATCGTACTATTTCGTAAAATACAGTAATTCGCCGAGTGAGGATCTAGAAAATATTTTTACATGCATTCTGCATACATGAAAACAAGGGACAGGAATTTTTAGTCTTTGATTTTAGATACTTTAGATTTAAATACCGAAGCGAGTGATGGGAGAGGTTTTTTTTTTCGGGGGGGGGGGGTTGGAGTGGGGATCATTTATGTAGAGTAAAATAATTGCTGTTTTAGTAACTGATTTTGTTAAAATATCAAGGTCTGTCCTGCTTTGAAATGTTTAGTTTACCGAGAAAATAGACTTTAGTTTATCTTTGAGAAAGAATTCCAAATGTTGTTTAATGTAATTTATTATATTAATTTCAGAAAGCATAAAGCAACTATACGTGCCGAAGCACATAACGATTAAAAGTAAAACTGCTAGAAAATGTTAAAAGTTATGTTAGTCGATCAAACGTTTTTGTTTTCTGCTTCATTTATTTTGAGACCATACACATGTGATGTATTTTAATATACGTGCCAAGTTTCAGACAATTTTAACAGTGTTGTTTCGACACGAGTCCGATTGCCCGTAAGTAAATTGGCTGGCTGCATCTGATTTGCTTGGCCTTTCTTGAGCATTGAGTGAATCCAAGCTAATTTCCTGTGTAGTTCCTGAAGGAATCCTTTTTTAAAACAGTTAGTGTTTGTACTGTTTTGACTTGAATAAATGATCAAATAATCTGAATAGGTAACAATATTCAAATATTTCGAACCCGTTTTTAGTAAAATATAATTAATTTCGATTGTTTGTAATTGCTAGAAAATATGCCAACGAGTTACTAAAAAAATTATTAAACTATTATGGTGCTAACAATGTTTGAATAAGTAGTAAAAATATCGAACATGCAGCTAAGCATAAGGAAGTTAACGGACAACATGCTGAGCTATAGGATACGGATCTGATGTGATTCTTATTTGCATAGCTAACAAACAGACTCCGTATTTTAAGGTGAGCTGTTTAAATAGGCTTTCGTAGTTTATATTGATAGCTAACTTTTATGATTAAAAATATTTTGAAATAATAGGTGGCGCAAAATATTTTGTTCCGAAAGTCGTTTCAACTTTTCATGAAACGGAACTGCTGTAATAAAAATGTGTTTCTTA